AAAAAAACCTCGTCTCTTCTTGCAACACTAGTGTTTGCTGAAACTTTCCGATTAGTTTTTTGTTTGCAAAAGTTTGACGACGGCAGTGGATAAGGCCCCTACGACCCTTGCAAATGTAGGGCTACGTGCCTATCTATCATTTGAGACGCCACTTCATCAATTAACATCACTCCAGCACAGCATGAATAGCGTCTGCTTCCCTCAACTTTTTTCTTTGAAATCTAAGAGTTTCATTGATGTCCAATGAACTGTGATATTTCAGCCGGGAAGAGCTCGAAGTGCAAACGAACCGTCTCATACCGACGTTATGCAAATTGATGTCGGATCCGAATGTTGACGTGAGAATTTGCTTCTTTAATTCTATTTTCTCATGGATTTTTGTCCTCATTTACCTTAACCTTGGCTGAGCACAGCGCACTTTTTTTTGAGAGTCAATCTGACATTCAGGCAGTAGTGTCAGGTTCTTACCTTTCTCTCTGCATTAAACGACCTCTCCAACCATTGAGTACGGCCTTACGAACAGCTTGTTTTTCTCAAATAAGTAGCTGATTTTGAAAGCTAATATTTTTGTAAGTATTTTTGTTTATTTTGAAAGTCTTGCCACATTGAATGTCGTTTTCGCTATTAATAAGCGGATGAGACAGGAAGTCAAAATTCAATTCCGTACGATCCCACAAAAGTGTTGAATACGTGGCGCATTCCAGAGGGGCGCTTTTCGAACTTGACTGTTTGGAGTTTTCGTTCAAGACCTCTTATCGAACCCTTTTTTTNTTTTTTTCAGCTACCACATGTTATTGATGATATTTAGCAATATTGACAAATAGTAGTATTTAATAATGATCAATAATAGTGCGAATACTTCCAAAATCTTTCACCCTGATAGTGAGAGAGGGAACGATAATGTTTTTCTTCCTTCATCGATCGCGTCTTTGGGATGCGCCCCAGCATTCGACTCCCACTCAGAATCGAAGTGTCGTTTGAATTCGTATGTGGCCTATACATTCACTTACGGTGACTAGCCGATGAACGAGTCAGTGCTTTCATTCTCCGACTTAATCCTGATACCATTTAGTCAACCTTTAGGAGAGATGGGAAGTTTGCTTGGGCGCGACGGTTATCAATGGGGAATCATTTTTCTGAAAAAGCAAGCGATAGTACGTCACTGTTTACAAGACCACTTACTCTTCGGGGATCTATCCACACTGCCAAAAAAATTGTTATTTCTGAATACCGATTGTTTTTCTGTGAACAGGTGATGTTTTTATGTAGGTCCTAAATGGAAACTGTAACCGTTAGTTGTGAAGGTGTTAGAGAGTTTAAAATGATAAATGAACTGAAATTTAGTCCGTTTATGATTTCTTTTCAGATTTTTGCGAAGGCTATTTGATTGACTACAGGGTCTATTCGACTTGATAGTTTTGATTGATACCGTGGCGATTCCTTTCTTCGATCCTCCCTTGGATACTTTTGCGCCGCCCCAACATATTGCTCCTGGTGACCTCTACCCAATGAAGATTGTTACTTCTTTCTCGTGCTCCCGAATACGCACGTTCTCAGAAAAATTCAAGATTATACCGCTGTGGAATCGCTCCGGATGACCCTTCTCTTTGACACTTTTAAAAACTTATTTTATTTCAAGAACGGAGGTGATGTAGTGACAAAAGGTGCACGATCACCCATGCACTCAGCTTCGAATCCCGAATCGATATCCGTCTAGGCCAACCAAGACTTCCTATCATCCGGGGCAGGTTAATTGGTACCAGACTCGTCTGGGAGGATAAAAGCGCTAACTTGTACATCAGCTGGCCACCGCAAGCCATTGTATAGTCTACATACGCATTCAATACGTCACTACGATTCTGAATTGGGGGCCGAGTGCGGGGCGTATCCTTTAGACGGGATTGATCAACCCCAAGCTTCGTCCTTTATCTTTATTTCATTTTTGATAAATTGACTAGAGAAAAACTTGTTTATATCGCTGTCCATTTCTCTTATTCGAATTTGCCTACTTTAGAAAGACGACTGTATATCCAGGAGTATGTACGGTGATACCGGGTGGCGCGATTCCCACTCTCTGCCACGGGAAGGGGACCTGGACCTGAGCATGCCCAGGCCAATATCGAACTAAGGGGCTAATCTCAAGGCAGTCTTTTTTGATTGTTGTTTTCCATAATGAAAATAACTGAAAGTCAAGTAGGTTGAAAAAAAACGATCTCGAAGGAGGTTTGATGATAGTGCAATGCTCTAGATCATTGAATTAGAAGCTTCAAGCTTTGCGAATGAATGACGAATATTCTGCTGCCTTTCTCGGTGTTTTTTCCTCTTCGCATTCCTTAATATCACTTGTTGCGGTCAGTTGAAAAACATGAGCGGAATGTCGACCGCTTCGTAACGAGTCCGGATTCCTTTGACAATGACCCTTAAAGGACAGTCCAAGGAGCGTCCACGCTCTGCCAGTTTGCCAAAATTTTTGCTGTTCTCTATCTAAGAAAACTTCATAAATTGAAAGTAACTATTAACATTCTCTCTCAATCAATCTCGTTACCGAAACGCGCCGCGCCTTCGACTTCCATTCAGAATCGTAGTGGCATTTCGAGTGCGTCTACAGTGACTATACGTAGTGGCCTATGCAATGACTTGTTATGGTCAGTCGATTTACAATACAGTGTTTTTATCCTTCCAGACGTGTGTGGTACGGATTAGCCTATGATACGGTAGTTAGTGGCAGATAGGGTGTAAGAAAGATAAAATTTTTGGCTGTATCAACTGGCGGGGTTGACTGATGGGTTGAGAGTGGAGGCCAACAGTTATTACAAGTTGATGCTTTCATCCTCCTAGTTGGGATAAAGGCACAACTCACGATAATTCTGAGGTACCCATTCCAATTCGAAAAGCGGAAGTATAGGTAGGGAATAGTTCATTGGGAGTAAAGAATGCGAAAGAATCTGAGAACAATATGGCTCCCTAAAAGTAGCGAAAATGAAGGTTACACGAGATTACCGTGACGGGAATAACATATAAGGGATAATCTGACGAGATTTCAGTTGTGCAATTGCACAAAGAGCTGATTTATATATTTAATTGGTAATACTAACAAGTGGTTTTTTGTTTATTTATCAAGCCAGAACGTACAGAAGTGCCTTTCACTGTCGCTATGGGTCATGACAAGTTTTTCAATTTTCCTACATGGGTTCCTTTGTGATTGGTGCAGCCCCTACCATGCCGGTAAAACTCGTCCGAATATGCACACTTGATCCCATATAACTCCCTGACTAGGTCATTTTCCGACCCGAATGAGCCAGATATGGTATACGAGGGAACCTCGAATTCATCCTATGGGGAAATTTCAGAAACGCTTTTTATCGTGAACTGTGCCTCTAAGTACCAATGGATTGATTGGAGATTGAAAGTTTTGGTTTAACAAGGTGATTATCAATTAGGCAATCAGTCCTGGACTGTCTGTATGGTAGCGGCACTGCTTGGCACTAACCCACCTCTGCCAGTACATCTTATTGAGTTTTTTCTGTTAATAACACAATACTGATGACGGATGTGGGATAGTACCCTGTAGTGCTGTCACCATGTTTATGGTCCGGGGTCAAACCCGAGCCGAGACCATATGGGCATCCAAATCTTCTACTATTCGGCAAAGTTCATAGGTGCTAAAAACATCTAAGAGTGCAGAACCAAGCTTGTTGTCATCAACTGGCCCCTCAAGTCATTGTTAAGCATCATATGTATTCATATATCGAAATATCAGCAACCTCGCAACCTATCCTTCTGTGCTTACCGATCTCATTTTCGCCTCAGCCTATTGGTAGTGTGCATAGTAATTGTTTTTATCGGAATACAACCTATTCTTGCTCAGTGTAACCACTATTCCATAGTAGTGCGCTGTACGAATTATAATTACAGACTGTGACTTTCTAGAATGGAGAGAATCAGATTTAGGTTCGTGAAGCGGCTACGAACACATTGGCTCATGTGATGCTCGTATTTGGTGAAGAGATCAGCAACAGCATCCAGAATCGACGCTTGATTCCAGAGAGCAAGTGAGTAGTGTCACTCGATTCGGTATACATATGTTTCTTTGCCCACATACTTGTAATCAAGGTTTTTGGTGATGAGAGCAAAAGTGATCCGGATGACGTTTGAAAATCCCGAACGGCACGTGGTGAGACAAGTACTTAATGTATCTATCTAAGACATACTGCAGAGAAAGGCCGAAAAGGCCATGAGTCATGTAATAAGAGCGGAGCGGATATACTCACATGCACTCACGGTAGGGATGCTGCAGTAAGGCAGGGCAGCTCTCATGCGCAAACCCTCACTCATGACTCCCACTTAGTAGGGACCTGGGTGGGCAGGATTGATGGGGCCTTCATTTGCTAGTTGTTCTTCAGTCGATAGTTTTGATAGCTTCCATTTGATACCGAACTTGTCCAAGTCTTCTAAAGGGACTAAACGTATGTCGAGAAGTTCTAAAAAGCTATTTGTGCTTGCCCAGCTCTAAGAAGAGGGAATGGTCGTACTCGCTCGCTGAGTTAATAGAAAGGAGAAGAAATCATAGTTTTTTCTCCCTGTTCCCTCATCCACTTCCCACTGTCCCAGAATAAGGAAATATTGAAAAAGCAAGGAGGGGATGGAACGGGTGTAAGGGGGTTGTACTGGAATTAATTCACTTACGGGTTAGGGTAGCGTCGCACTGGGCGATCGATTCTCCTTGGCGCTCTGTTTGTCTCAATTTTCTGCTGGGACAATGCGGAAAACCCATTCATACTCTCCAATGTTTCCCGATCTAGGTGAAGACGTGGCCTAATCTCAAGAGTCTGACCACGTTATATTTTGCCTTTTGCCCTATATGGGCGGCAAGTTCGCACCTACCATATACCTTGGCGGCTAGTCACGTACTATTGCCATACCGGTCCAGGTTTTAGAGCATTCCTCAAGGCTTTGTTTTATTTGTTTTTCGATTTCCTTGCTGGGAAATGCATAGGTATTTGCTTTTTGTTTTTCATTGTTAGCAGTAATGATAGCTGACGAATACTGGTTGGGTGGAAGTCACCATTATCGCCGTTCCGGAACCGAAGACGTTGTGAATTCGAGAACGACGTCGAGACATTGTTGTAGGAACAGGCCTGCACCTTAACCGTCGTGGTGATCGGCTGTTTCATTCGCCTGGCGATGGGCTTTGCGGTGATTAATCCCAAGGTCTTAATCTTTTACGGGCCAACAGTTCTCGTCGGTGACCTCGCTGCGCCCACCATATTCGGATAGTATGGTCGTTTGACTGCCCAATACTGCCGTTCGATGGGCACGTCCGGTCCATTGGCATACCATAACTCTTAACTAACCACAACTTTCTACTGGATCTTTTCTCTTTTTGTTATTTTTCTCTCTTTTCTTCCGTCATTTGAGGGTTGGCTGGCCTTGGAGTACATAAAACGGGCCGGGATCTGATCCACGGATCACCATTACACCACTTTCGCCCGAATACGTTGAGCAGAGCTAATAATCTAATTCTAAATCATGGAAACCATCGACGACCTCTTGATGACCTTAAGTTTTCTATTTGTTGAAGTTTTGCGATTGTTACACACTGCCCTTAGATCCTCTTCTTCCCCTTGGAGTTAATCCCCCGCCGTCGTAGAGTCAACAGCTTAAGTTGGCTGTCACCAATTCCTTCTATCTATGGCAACTCTTGCCATGACCTCGGTTTCGGCGAGGCTTTCTTCTATTAATACTCTTCGACTTTTTTTTGAAGCCTCCTCATGGTTTTTTTTCCTTAGCCTTGAAATCTATTCTTTCTTATCGAACGTAATGTGACCACTCCATCGCAGGCACTGTTTTCGCATTTTCAGGAGAAAGGTTGTCTGCATTACTGCCCTTGTCCTGAAAATGACTCCTTACCGGCTGATTTAGCAGATATTTTGGCAGTCTTTTCTAAATGGTCCTACCCAACGGCTGTCGTATTGTTGGCTGCCTCAGATTCAGGGGAATGAGGCCCACCTATATTACTGTTCTTGGCATATGGATATCCACATATACATAGCTTACCAGGCTAGACATGAGGCTGAATTGACTCCGAGTAACTTGCCAGGCTCTCCCAGAGTAGAAGAGGATCTTTGGTTTCGGAGGCGACCCCAAATCGCACTCCGAATATTTCCCATCACTCGAAAGCCAGCTTTTGACTGAGCCGATGTGCAGGACACCGACTGAACCTGCAGACTTTCTACACACGTATGCATGGATACACCTGCGAGATAGACAATATTTATTGACTCAACACCCAGAAACAGTTGGTCCATCTACTGAATCTACCTGCACAACTATCGGTGTCTTTTGGTCCGCATTTTACTCCGCCATCCGTCATCTGGAATGGCACCACGTAAAGTCGCTCACATTCCATCCGCCACTACTGTTTTGAATGGAAGTTGATTGTATTGGGAATCCCGATACGGGAGTGATCAAGGGCAAAAGACACTGTGATTTCACTTTATCATCGCTACGAGCTGAGCAAAACCCCTATTTCTGCGACGGACGTAAGGGAGTAT